GAGACAGCGGTTACTGATACGCAGGAGGAAACATTCTTTTCCGAAAGCAACTCTGGCTGTATCTTGTTTCTCCAGGTTTCATGCTAGCCTTAAGGTCGACGTCTTATGTGTTTCGACTCCTACGTAAGAAACTCACGGGATGGAGTAAATGGTGTGTTCTCAACCAGTTTATTCAAAAGGTCCAACCCTCCGTTTTTAATCTCCACATCTACCGATAGAGAAAAAAGTCATTTCTTAAACGATCTTGTTGATTAATCCTCATTTTTTATTGAAACCAACGCTCCTGTACTGAGTTCAACATTTGTTCTTGCTTTTTCGTTAGAACGGTTGTCTCTCTGCCGTACAATGAAACGCTGACTTGACAGAGGTATGGTGCAGGGTGGATTCTTATGGGAAAAGTAACTCCTGATTTTCAGTCCAAATATTGAACAGGATTTTAAAAGCACTCGGGACTAAAGCAGTTCTCTTATTTAAGTCTGGCTGGATGGTGCCATAACTAGAACGGTGGATCCGAAATGCTTAAACTAGTCAGTCCCTTCAGCTACTATGTTTCACTTGTAGGAAAATACCGTGCAGAATCGATTCCTAATAACTTTTCACTTCCGGACGTTAAGTAAGAGGCCGTTTACGCAAGTGTGTTGCATACAGTAGTCTTACATACTGAAGAAGTCTCCATCCCGAACTACTGTTACTATTACAGCAGTATCATCTGCGTACTCCAGGTTAGCATGATATCTAGCCGGATATATTTTGAATTGCACCTTCCCTCCGAAACGAGACCTTCTTTGCCAGGGTAAGCACTGATTTTGAGAGAAAAGTCGAGATCAACGTAGAAATATGAATTCGAAGGTACATCTCGTAGAGAACTCCACAAGTAATAGGGAATCATTCAGATTGCTATCCTTTGGCACTGACGGAAGGTATTGCTTGTGCATACGTCTCTTCACAAATGCAAGCGACATGCTCAGGTGTTCTGTAGCATTTTAAGATTTTATGTATCGTCAGAAGATGTTGTTTGTGAATCATACCAGTTTTAAAGTTGACAAAGGTGGCAAACTAATGCAACTGCAATGGTCGGAATTGCTCAGTGATCCTGCGCAGAGGGAAACTTCATTTGGGGTAGAATTATCCAATTCAAACGCCTGCTTGATTTGGCAACATCTTCCTTTAATTGCAAATCCCAACCTTGGTAGATAATTCAGAGGAAACTTTTCCCTGCAGTTGACAGTAGTGTGACGTGAGGATAATTGAAGTATGCGGTCACCAGACTCCGTTTGAATATAGGGCTAGTTACTCCACACTTCCATTCTCCAGGGAAACATTCGTAGGTGCACCTTTCGTGAAATTGGGTAAGAAACTTTTGTACCATTCCGATTCCTTCATACCTAGTTTACTCCGGATGAATTTGATCCCCTTCCCCCGCAGGTTTTGTTAATCTTGAGATGTAACGGCTTTTTGGGTTTCTGATTTTGTGAGTTGATCTATACTGACCTCTATTGTTGACAGACAATTAACGGTCGGAAATGACGAATCTGGATAGCAGCCGTTGAGCAACTGTTGGAAGTATTCAACAAATCTTTTGAGGCATTCCTTTTCACCTGCTGTTGGAATACCCTTAGCGTTTTGACTAAAGTCAGACCCGTTGCCTGCTTACCGTACTTCCTTTGTAATGCCTCTCTTTGAACACAGTTCGCCACTCACCCTTTCTGGTTGCCTCGTTGATCATCATGATTGCTCCGTCCAGCCAAAGTTTTCTGTTCCGGCTGTAACTATTGTTGACTGCACGAACGAAGGTGATGAGCCGTCTTCGAAGGTGTTGTAGGTGTTTCTTTTTCTAGTTCCTTTTCACTCTAAGAACTAGGGTCTTCTCGGTAACCCGGGACAGTTTGGCTATTCTCTTTCTGACCAGGACTATGTTTTTCGTTCAGGAAATGACGGCTTCTTTGAAGTTTTTGTAAGCTTTATCGACATTGCCACTTCCCGACTGGGAATTAATGGTTTCATTAGAATTATAAACGTTACTTCATTTGATTGATCGATCGTTCTGCTTCATCATATTTTAGCTTGTCAACAGCTGATTTGCTTCTTTCAGAAGGTGTCGATGAGACATGGCTGATTTCAGATGAATATATGGTGATCGAACCCAATGCAGGCGCCACGCTTGAAGCGAGTCTCTAGCAGCAAGCTGCGCGTCATTTGTGTCTTATGGGGACGTTGTCCAGTTGACCGTTTAGGCTTCGATCATAAGATTTCCGGGTGGATTGATGAATATCTTATGAAGAAGAAAAATTCTCGCAGCAACGATTGAGCTGTTAACTTCGCTAAGGCTTGACAGACACTTGTCGTTGACATTGTTGTGACGGCTAAGCACGCCTGACCATGTACTGTACTCAGCTCCAAGTTTTCGTTGAGGTAATCTGTGACAGTAGTGAAGTTAGTACGCGACAAAGCCCTAAGATTCGATTGCATCCAGTCGTAGAAAGCGTCGTTTTCGCTATCACTCCACAGGTTTGTCGGGTCATAGGCGACAGTGGCATTCAGAATCGCTTGTTTGGCATTCACTAAGAAAGACCAAGATTCTCTCTGACAAGTGTTCTCCAAAATGACCGCACTTCTTTCCATAAGGGGACATGAGGATACGTACATCAGCAAAGTGGCCTTTCCGGGAGCATTTTCGAACTCGCCGAAACCGTTGCAGCTGTCAGTCGATTTCTCTGTCTGAAGAAGCAGTGGCTGAGATGAACGCTTTTCCGATTTTTTAACTCTGAACTGTGTCGAGATGCATGAGCCCAACGTTTCATCTCAGAAAGTTCACCTTAGTCGCTGGTGTTCGAGATTAAAATATTTTTCAGTCATCGCCCACGACCCATGACAGTAGGGGAGTATCGGGATAAAAATGGACTTGAACACAGACATCGTAGTTTTTCGACTCAGGAAAGCGTCGATTGATCTCTTTCTTACATTTTCTGTCACCAGTAAACATGATCCTGAGTTATAGTTACCTGTACTTCTTGACTTGTTCCACTGAGCGAAACCAGTTGAAGATCAAAACAACACTATATCTTCGGTTTTAGATATCTTTGCATGCATGCGGGTTTTCGCCATGGACTGTGAGTCTTTTTACAGCTCTCTGAAGATTACCTTCGAAAGACAAGCAGACAAAGGTGGTTTTCAGAGGGCCATTTTCTCGTCTTCACATATACTGGTATGATGCACTCGTAGCAACAGCTGCTCCTGATTATCCTCTCTGCGTCATACAGCAGATTCGAGACAGAGGACAGAACGTGTCTTTGGCGGAAGCTAATGTCAAAATATCTCGACTCAGTCTCATTTACGGTGACACAACACCCGCTATCAACATATGGTGACTGGAGGACTCGTAAGAACTGACCATTGAACTCATGTCGATGAGGGAGCTGCCATTATTTCTACACAGTCTGACAAATGGCGAAGATCTGGTCAAGATTGAGCGAAAGCATAAGCGTAGCGCGTTAAGTGAAAGCC